TGCTCAGGCTGGTTTCGAACTCCTGAGCTCAAACAATCCGCCCGCCTCGGCCTCCCAGAGTGCTAGGATTACAGGCGTGAGCCACCGCGCCCGGCCTATACATTTTTTATAGTGTTCTGAATTTTACCTATTACATTTGTCCTATTTTAGTGAGATGAGACTGTTTTCTTATTAATTAATAGATAAAAGGATAAGCCTCTGCTTTACTCAATAAGAGAGATTTCCTAGGATTGAAAAGGCCATAGCACACTTTTATCTTCATCCAGTTTGGGTTTTGGTGATACTGAGAAGTAATACCTTTGTCTTAAAAATATCTCAGATTTTAACATGGATAATTAATCTTCCAACTGGGTTTATGATATACAGCCTTGCTCCTTAGTACATATAATGTGATCAAACAATTTAATACAATGCTTATTAGGAATGCAAATGAAATTAGCTTAGAGAATGGAAGAATGCTACGTAAAACTCCATTTTAATATAGAGTTCATAATGAAATCATAGATAATACTTGTGGCATTTCTTCATTCTCAGTATTTTTTCAAATGAGTTAAGCAGACCTGCAAGTACCTTGTGAGCTGTCTTGCAGAATAGGGAAGATGCCAGGAGGGTAAAGCTCCAGATTCTCTGCCTAGTTTCAGCTACAACAGCTTTGCTTTACCCATTGCATTCATTCAGCAACCAACAGGTATTTGTGGACCAAGTTTTGTTTTAGCTGATGCAATATATTAAGTATCCGTGGTATATTTGTTTGGAAAAATAAAGAAAGAAAAAGAGTTCGACTAACCTTTTCAAAAAAAGCTTAAGAATAGTTTGGGAAGTCATCAGTAGAATAGAGAGAGAAACAAAAAGAAGGACCCAAGTTGAGAAAATACTATTTGGATTCTTTAACAGAGTCCATAATCTTTTCCTTCCCAAAGGACAGACGGCTCTGACGTTACAGATAGCCAGAAGTCACCTACCCATATAAAGATAGTCCTGGATGCTATGAAAATGCCAGAGTTTTGCCATTAGATTCCTCGACAGTGTAAAAACGTACTTCTTTCTCATTTCAAGAACTGGCAGCTTTTACTTCTGAGTCATTTCTGAGTTGGTTGATGATGTTTCAGTTCTCTTGAGAGTTCAAGCTCAAACAAGATTAATCTGCGTATTTGAAGACACCATTTATATTCGAGTTCATTACATGTTTTACTATAAAAGAAATTTGGGATACACAGTATCCAGGCTTATTTCAGTTACTGAAACTAAATTCCAGCTCATTTTAGTCCACTTGTGAACTCTAGTTAACTTCATCACTTCAAGGAGAAACAAGCTTTTTTGACATTCAATTTTCTACAGATTCAAGGTCATATATATTTGTATGAATGCAAGTACAGAGTTTACGTATTCACCGAATAGTAATATCTCTCTTTGCTGAAGTGTTTTAGCAATAGTGGCCTGTACTACTAAACTGTAGTCTCTGTTTTTACCACCCGTTTGCTTTGGAGACATTTCAGTATCATAGCCTTTTCTGTATTGAATCTGAAAATGAGAAGAAGAGAAAGAGCATTAAAAATTGGACAAATTTTGTGCATCGAACCTATCAAAGAACCAAGTACCTAGCGTGCATGCTCTTGACTTACTTTATTACTGTTCTTTGAATCTCTCTTTTCTCTTCTTCATTTAATCTTTGAAGAATGGATTCCAAGAGAGAAAAATGAAAGTTAATGTACTGAGCCACCTAAGAAAGGAAAAAAAAGCAGAGCGTTTATGTGAGAGCTGCTGAGTCAGAATGCAAGCAAAGACAGATTAGGGTGACGGTGTCCATACATCACTGCTAATTTCTTCTGCGTCTTTATCCATGAGGAAAATGCGAGCATTGTTTTTGGAGGGTCCCTGTAGGAGTCTCTGCAGTAGAGGAATGTCTGTCTCTTTCAGCCGTCTCTGTTCTGCAAATGAAAACAAGTACAACCACAGTCAGGAGTTCACGCTAGAGGAAAAGAAGGAAGATAATTTTCCCATTCATTTTCTTTCTTTAGTTTACATGGGAAGAAGTAAGACCTGAAAAGCACACACAGC